GAGGATGTGAAAGAGCTAAGATCTTTCTTAATCCTGGCCTCCCAGAGCTCTTATCTGGAGCACTGCTGGCCCAAGAAGGTTAAAGTCGAAGAACTTTTTTCCAACAGATGTAGATGACAAATGCTGTCTGACTTTTTATGTCTCAACCACTGATGTTCTCAGGGAGGATGAAGTAATAGAAAGAGGCTGCCATGGAGGTCCTGAGTGATCGTGGGCTGTGTCTGTCCTCTAATTTGTAGGGATATTTGACCTCGTCAAGAGGATTGTGTTCTTCAGTACTTCTCAAAAGCAGAGGCAAAGAGTGAGAAATCCCCTGCACAGAGCCTTTCTGCATCCATCTCTGTGAATCCCTCTCTTTCTCTGCACAGGTTCTGGGCAGCTGTGGAGTTAAAGTACAAACTCCAGACGGAGAGCCAGGGTCCTTGGATTGATTCTATAAATCCCATGCTAAAAGGTCATGCATGGCGATTTAAACCCCTTGTCTCTAACCTGAGAAAAATGGCTTCTCCCTCTGTGCATTTTTTTGTGATGATTCCATGAGGTGTCAAGCTCTCACAGAGTGGCTTTTCAAATATAGATGGAGTCCAGAAGATACCTTATAGCTAGTTCTGAGCTTTTTAGCTTCAAACAGTCTTGAACTTGTACTCCATAATAGCTTCTCTTTGTGACTTGTTCCTTGTCCAGGACCCCAAATCAGCACTGTGTCCTTGCCAATAGAATCACAACTCTAAAATAGTCCCTTCAGACAATGAGTTTGTGAGGCCCAGCCTAAACAGGTGCCACAAAATGAGTGTATTGTCTTGCACTTCTAGGGGCCCGTGACCTGAGATGGCGACTGGGGCAAGGCCATGCTCCCTCCAAGGGCACGAGGGGAAGATCAATTCCAGGCACCTGTCCTATCTGCTGGCAGCTCCTTAGTTTGTGCTCCCATAACTCCAGTCTTTGCAAGGTGTGCATGCCTGTAAGGACACCCATCATATTCTGTTAGGAGCCCACTCTACTTCAATATTACTTTCTCTTGGCTAAATTACACTGGTAATGATCCTGTTTCAAAATAAGGATACACTCTGAGGGGCTGTGGGTAAGGATGCCAACGTATGAATTTTTGAGGAACAAACCCCTAACAGACACTTTCTCCTCTTTCTAAATTTCTACTACAAGTGGCAGCTCTCTAACCTCAAAATCTTCTTCTCAACAGCCTAGAAATGGGTCTGACCTGGCCTGGGCCATCTCTGGCTTTCTAGTGATGAGACCTCCTATTTATTTTTACCTCATCTGCTGGTACAATAACAGTGGTATTCATTGTGTGGAAATTCTATTAGATCCTAGATACTGAATACGTATATTATTCTAAACTTCATCAACATTTGGATTATCATCAGTTTTTTTTAAAAGATTTATTTATTTATTTGAAAGAGTTACATACAGAGAGAAGGAGAGGCAGAGAGAGAGAGAGAGAGAGCGAGAGAGCTGCACCGATCTGAAGCCAGGAGCCAGGAGCTTCCTCCAGATCTCCCATGCGGTTGCAGGGGCCCAAGGATTTTGGCCATCTTCTACTGCTTTCCCAGTCAATAGCTGAGAGCTGGATTGGAAGTGGAGCAGCCGGGACTCGAACTGGCACCCATATTGATGCCAGCACTGCAGCAACGGCTTTACCTGCTAGGCCACAGCACCAGCCCTTATCTTTGGTTCTTTAGTTGAGAAAAAAGACAGAGGAAGTCAAGTGATACACAAAGGCTAACCAGCAGGTGGCGACAAAGTGGGAACTGTGCTAGGCTTTTCTGGCACAAAGTACTAAGGTACAAACTTAGTACCTTCCACCTGGTGTCTTGGAGAACATCAGAGTATCATCTTCTAAGCAAACCACAAAGATTCATTTTCTCTCTGAGGGCAACAACAGCCGTTTCAGAGGAGAGAATCTGAAAGTCAATTAGAGTAACAAATGTTTCTTGAATAGCTGCTTAGGTAGCGGTTCTAGCACAGGAGAGAGATGGCATAGATAGTGTAGGCATGGAGTTGCTGTTGTTCTTGAAGCTGTGAAAAAAAGGGGAGTAGGAGACAACACAACTAGAACCAGCTGCATGACCTTGCACAAAGTCTACCTCCTCCGTGAGCCTTCAGTTTCTATCTTATACTCATTGTCGCTGTGTCTGTCTTATGGGAGAACGAGGTTTAAATGAGATCATAGATAAGAAGTAGCTGCCATGTAGTTGATTCCTTTTTTTTTAAGGACTTATTGATTTGAAGTCAGAGTTACAGAGAGAGAGGGACACACACACACACACACATACACGCACACAGAGGTGGAGGGGATCGGGGGAGAGAGATTTCTGATTCACTTCCCAGATGGCTGCAACAACCAGGGCTGAGCCCAGCCAAAGCCAGGAGTCAGGAACTTCATCCGGGTCTCTCGCATGGGGAGCAGGGGCCCAAACACTTGGGCCATCCTTTGCTGCTTTTCCCAGTAGTAGGGGGCTGAATTGGAAGCGGAGCAGCTGGGACACGAACCAGTGCCCATATGGGATGCTGCCATCCCAGGCTCTACCCTCTATGGCACTATGCAGACCCCAGCTGACTCTTGATAAGACTTCATTGTCTTGCGCCCTTCCTTAGCTTTGGAGGTATTTTGTTTGTAGCCTTCCCACAAATCACTTTAATGCAAATTGTGCAAGATGGGAGAATAGTGAATCCAAATAATGAAGAATGGGAAATCCTACTCCCTTAAGGAAATAAAAATAAGGCAGAGTCTGAATGTCAAAGGACTTTCTTGACAGGACTTCAGTCCCAGTTCTGAGGCCAGAAGGCCTCAGGAAAATCACAATTCTCTTGGAGTCTATTTCCCCACCAGTTGCTGTGGTTTGGATATATCCTCCCAAGCTTTACACGTTGGAAACTTAATTTTCAAATTCATACATTAAGGGTATTTGGAAATGGGGCCTTTGGGGAGTAGTTGGGACAGATGAGGTAATGAGGGCGGGGCTCCCATAGTGGCCTTGTAAGAAGAGACCTGGGCTCCCACTCTTGCCTTGTCTCCCCATGTGATAGCTTCTACCTTGTTATTGTGCAGTAACGAGGCCCTCACCAACGATGCCGAACAGATGCTGGCGACTGCATCTTGGGAACTAAATAAATCTCAATTCTTTGTGAAGTCCCCAGTCTGTGGTCTCCAAATGTAGCAACCAAAGATGGGGTAAGTCACTGATAAAATTCTGAAAGAAATTTACAGGATTTACAAGATTCTAAGAGAACATGCTAGACAGAACAGGTTATTTTAAATGCTAAGATGATGTCCTGAATGAAGAAGAGAAGTTGAATGAACCAGAAATCGAATGGGGCAGAGGTTTGGAAGAGCTCAGTGCCATCTATACCAGCATTCACCCCTGAGTACTTTTAGTTTGCTTCTTTCTGTCTTTTTGTTTGTTTGTTTTCTGATTCTATTTCTGTTCCCCTTATATTTTATTGCTGTTAGTATGACTATTTTTATTTTTTGTTCTATTCTTTTCCTTCTTTTAGTGTTTCTTTTTCTGTCTTCCATTGCTGCTAACCTTTTCTCTTTAACTGGCCCCAGGAGGAAACTGACAGGTAATGGGGAGACCCTGGTTGATTTCTTGGTTCCTTGCTTTGGCCTGGCCTGATGCTGGTCATGTGGGCACCTGGGGATTGAAAGATAGGAGCTCTCTTTTGGTACGCTTGTTTGTCTCTTTGTCTCTTTCTCTGCGTCTCTCTGCTGCTTCTGTCCTACCCTCCAGGCCCCAACATACTTTCATCCTTCTGGAAAACAGCTATGGCTCTCCCAGATCATCCCATCTCAGAGTGCCTGAGTCTGCGATGAAATTGGCCATGCACATGCTTCTTCCACGTGCTGGGCAGCTGTGCCTGTGTGGGCTCCCGCACCCTGCGTAGGCTTCTATGCAGAACAGCCCCGGTGCTTTCTTGTCTGACATTCTCTAAGTCATGCTTGACTCCCCTTCCTCTGCTCCTAGGCAGAGAAGACCTCGGGGCAGAGGTCACGACACACTGATTTCTTTCTATTTCCACACAAGTCATCATGGGAAGAAGAGGTTCAATCAACCACCGGATGAGCACTTAAGTTGCTCTGAGTTCAGAGAAGGGAAGATTGATAAAACACACACCACGGAGATAATAATCCAAAATTATAGAAATGTGTAAATGAGAAAGAGACCAAATTTATTGTCAGTAGCAACAAAGAGTATAAGCAAACAATTCTCAGGGACTAAAACAAAGGGCCACAGGACCTCGGAGTTCTTCGATGGATCTCTGTATTGAAGGAGGTCATATCTAGGGACTGGAGGTTAAATTTCTTCACCAGAAGTATGGAAGGGGATAATATCAGTGATATCGCAATAGCTAATCCTATGTGTCAAGGCACTGTCTCAAATACTGTCCATGAATTAGCTCACTTAAATAGCTGCCAACTTCCCGTAGGCGCAAGGAGGTGCCTCAACCCAGCCACGGTCATACAGCTAATGAGTCAAGGGCGAAGATCTGAACCTAGGATCCCAGAGGTGTCATTTGAGTTGTAGTCTTTGTAGTGACCCTGTTGCCTGTACTGACTCACCATGAGCAGTAGAATGACAAGAGCCAAGTATGTACAGAAGGCAGAATCTGAAGTCTGCATGATTGTTCAAGGCGCTTCCCTTCAAAAGGGAGGATTGGGAAAGTACATATTCAAGTTCATCTCATTCCTCACTATTACTTACATATTATTTACATATTTATTACACGTGCACACACACACACACTACACTATTGCAGTCTCTTCCTTTAGCTCTTACTCAGAAGTCAGTCTGTCCTAGATTTTGCCAGCATCACCAGGAACGACCATTCCTATGCAAAGTATTGCTGATATTTTGATTTGGAGAATTTGACAGAAGACCACCTGGGGCTTCTTACCTTAATTAGTTGCTTTATCCATGAAGAGTGTGACGAGAAAACAGCAAGGAAGACAGAGCTGCCGTGTGCTTCGTCAAGCGTGCTAACAGAATTGGAGCCACCGTAGGAAATGGTTTGTTGTCTGTTGAAAGTCTAGTGGTCCCTCCCCAGTGTCCTATGCCAGCCTCACACCACGGTGCTTTTCTTCCCTAGCAGAGCAGAATCCCCCAAATGGAGGCTGGGTCCTCTTGCCCAGTGGGCGCCAGGAGCACTCTGCTGCATCACCACCAGGCGGATAGCGGTCTGGGCGTCGAGAGTGGCCTCTGGCGCATACTCCTTACTGGGGTCCTTGCCTCGGCAGTCGTACAGCACACAGGAGATGAGGAACACCAGGAGCAAGATGACGTAGCTCGCAACCAGGATGATCAGGTTTAAGGTGACAGGATCGATCTCCAAGTAGAACTCCATCGCCTGTCTCACGGTGGGGAAGAGCGTCTAGGGAAAGGCAAGTGGACCACCCCGGGCATGGCAGGAGCAGACTCTAGCTCATCAGAAAGGCTACATCGACTCTGGAATAAAAATACCATAATCCCCTCTGCTCCAGGAAACCTCGAGAATTAAAGCGGCTCAATTTAATAACTTAAGCTCTTGCGGCTAATACCATGGCACCAAAACACAGAATCTGTCTCCCTTCAATCCACCTGCACACAGAGACAAAGAGATATAGTACATGTGTTCTTGAGTCATGCCAAGAAAGCAGTGTCCATATAATGCCTCGTCCAAACAGGTAGTCTGAGGAGCAAAAGTAAATGCTATAAATAAGTATACCAAGATAATGATTATCCTGGAAAAACTAATTTATGGTTATTCTTTATGTAAGGGATGGAGTGATTTGGGCAATCAGGTCAGTGGGCTTTGGGAGTGGATGTGTTGGGGCTGCCTTTGTGGGTGTGTGACCTGCACAGGTGCACAAGGCCCCATGCTCAGAGGGACCCCACACTCAGTTTAACATTGTACTGTCACCATCTTGAAATTCTTAACAATTTTAAAATTTTGCATTGGGTCCTGCAAATTGTGTGTCCTGGTCTTATATGTTTTTGGTCAGTCAGGGCGTCACTAGCTGTTTCCTCAGTGGCTAATGGACTCTTGATACTCCTAGGTGAATGCCAAAACTCCTTGGTTTGCTGGTTTCTTTGTATGGTTATCTTAATGGGCAGCAGCTTCCATGGCAACCTGAGAGTTTAGGGATGCTGTCGCAAGGAGTTCTCATTCATATTCATCTGGAGGCCTTTTTCCAAATAAATTATTCCATGATACTGTGGTCCTTGACTAACATGTGGAATTGTATGCAAACACTGTAGGTTTAGCACTGGCCTCATTAGAATCAGCTGGACTTATCAAGATTCTATTTTTTTTATTTGACAGAGTTAGACAGTGAGAGAGAGAGAGAGAGAGAGAGAGAGAGAGAAAGCTCCTCCCTCCGTTGGTTCACCCCCCAAATGGCCACTATGGCTGGAGCTATGGCCAATCTGAAGCCAGGAGCCAGGTGCTTCCCCCTGGTCTCCCATGCGGGTCAGGGGCCCAGACACCCGGGCCGTCCTCCACTGCCTTCCCAGGCCACAGCAGAGAGCTGGACTGGAAGAGGAGCAACTGGGACTAGAACCCGGTGCCCTTATGGGATGCCAGCGCCGCAGGCAGAGGATTAACCCAGTGAGCCACAGCGCCAGCCCCTATTAAGATTCTTTTTAAAAAATTTATTTGAAAGGCAGAGTCAGAGAGAGAGAGGCAGGGAGGGGACGGGGAGCACTTCCATTCGCTACTTCACTCCCCAAATAGCCACAACAGCCTGGGCTGGTCCAGGCAGAAGCCAGAAGCTTGGAGCTCCTCCTGGGTCTCCCATGTGGTTGGCAGGGACCCAAGTACTTGGGCCATTTTCTGCTTTTCCCGGAGCAATAGCAGAGAGCTGGATCAGTAGTGGAGCAGCCGGGACTCGAACCAGCACTTCAATGGGAAGCTGGCATCACAGGCAGTAGCTTAAACTGCTGCTCCACAGTGCCGGCCCTTCAACTGGGCTTCTAGTAGACGCGGATATCCGGACCAGCACTACATCTATCAAGTTGGACCCTTTGGGGCTGGAGTATGGAGCTCATGGATAATTTTTAATATGTTTTGAAGATGGAGAATCACGGACGTAGGGTGTGCAAGAGAACGTGAATGCCCGTGATCTTGGGGGTCTTGGTTACTGGCCAGGGGATGAAACAGGAGGCATTCAACACAGAATTCAATACTGTCCAAGGTTCTGAATCCAACACATTCTGGGAATTAATTTTGCTAACAGGAAGTCCTTTTCCTGGTGATGAATCACTCTTACCAAGTTCAAAGGAGATGGATGTTAAAAATAGAAAAGCAATGTATTAAGCTCCTATGACAAATTCTCACCAGGTTGGGAGTGCTTATGTTGGAAGGATTGTAGCTTTTTCTTCATGGAGCCAGCTCTACAGGAAAAGTCCTTTTATAATTGGAGAGTTTAGCAGTGAGCACAGGATCCCAGCAAGTGGAATTGTCTACTCCATTCCCAAGCAAAGTATCAAACTGAAGTGAGATTTCCAAATGCAACATCGGAACCAGATCTTTCTTTTGCCCATTCTGAACTCTAGGTTCTAGACTTCTACAGCAAATTGAGTCCAGGTGCTTCCATGGTAAGATATTTAAGGTAATTCCTTGGTGACGTTAAATAGATGACACCAGGACTCTGAAATGAGAATGACGTGTGGTTTAGTCCACATTAAATTAAACTGAGGTACATACAACGCCTCCTTTATGAGTAGTTTATATCTACTCTTGGGTTCTTACTTGTGATGGTTGATCCTTTCTGGCCTTTCTTGAACTGACACAGTGCAGCTGATGTTTTTGGTGATGTCTGAAAATATTTTGTTTAAGGCTAGTGTTTTGGTTTAGTATCTACTGCTGTATCTACTACTATTTGTAGAGTTGTTTCTTTGTCTCTTTATATACCAGTGCTGCAAGTTCACTTTAAGAGCAGCCTCTTAAAGGCTTCACATCACTGCAGTGTCTTTGGTGAAATTCTGGGTACTTGTTTTACTTACTTAACCCCTGGATGATTTTTTTTTGTATTCATAGGATGGTCAAGCTCTCCGCTTTTCTTCATTCCTTATTGTTAAAGAACTTTCCTCTTGTGCCATCTAGTGGCCATGACAGACGTTGCTAAATAAAGAAAAATCTTGACAAGAAGTAAGGCTGGTACTGCTGTTATCCACAAGGTAGGGTGATCCAGGGGACACCTCTGACAAGCTGCATTTCAGAACAACCCCGTGAAGCAATCAGGACACGCTCATCTCCTCATTTGTGACAAACACGAGTTGTGCACGTAGCATGTGCTGGCGGGTAGTAGGCACTTTGGAACCTGATTATGTGATAAATTCTGCAGCTGTACTGTAGGTCCAGCATTCTACATAATGCTCAGATGAAAAGAGGAATTATAAGTCCTGTTTTTGGAATGAGGAAATCAAGGCTTAGAAAGGCAATAAAACTCTAATGAGTGCATTCTCATCCTCTTTCTCCCCACCCCACCCCCAACTCTCTTTTCCACTGCATGAAATCTAAATAAAAGATTGGAATAGCCTATGCCGTGGGACATTCAAAACCTATCAGACAGGTATTCTGTGGATACTCAGTTGGATACACTTTTTTTTAAAAAAATATTTTATTAATTTATTTGAAAGAGCTACAGAGAGAGAAGGAGAGTCAGGGGTTGGGAACTTCCATCGGCTGGTTCACTCTCCAATTGGCTGCAACGGCTGGAGCTGTGCCGATCCAAAGCCAGTAGCCAGGAACTTCTTCAGGGTCTCCCATGCAAGTACAGGGCCCAGACATGTGGGCCATCTTCTACTGCTTTCCCAGGCCATAGCAGAGAGCTGGATCACAAGTGGAACAGCTGGGTCTTGAACTGGCGCCCATATGGGATGCCGGCACTGCAGGTGGCGGATTTACCTGCTAGGCCACAGTGTCGGCCCCTGGATACACACTTATTTGCAGTATAGATCATTTTGACTGCTGACCTATAACATAATAATTGTGTTCCATATAAATGAATTTCTAGGAAAGTAGATTAATTCTTAAAATACCAAAATTATTTTTTGTGTTCTAACTATTCTGTATTGGAATTTATCTCTGGTGTTCTAGAATGGTTTGCTTTCTGTTAAATATGGTATCCTGAAAGTCTGTGTGCAGCAGGAAGTTTTAATAACTTCAGAGGTAGGCTGGTGCTGCGGCTCAATAGGCTAATCCTCCGCCTGTGGTGCCGGCACACCAGGTTCTAGTCCCGGTTGGGGTGCCAGATTCTGTCCCAGTTGCCCCTCTTCCTGTCCAGCTCTCTTCTGTGGCCTGGGAGTGCAGTGGAGGATGGTCCAAGTCCTTGGGCCCTGTACCCGCATGGGATTCCAGGAGAAGCACCTGACTTCGGATCAACGCGGTGCGCCAGCTGCAGCAGCCATTGTGGGTGAACCAATGGAAAAGGAAGACCTTTCTCTCTGTCTCTCTCTTTCATTGTCCACTCTGACTGTCAAAAAAAAAAAAAAATAACCTCGGAGGTAAAGATGTTGCAAGATTGTCAGAAGAAACGCACTGATGGCCCAGTGCTGTGGTGCAATGGTTAAGCTGCCAACTGGGACACTCACGCCCCGTTTCAGAGTCAGAGTGCATGGTTTGGGTCTTGATTGCTCTTCTTCTGATCCAGCTCCTTGCTCATAGGCATCCTGGGAGGCAGTAGATGATGGTTCAAGTACTTGAGTCCCTGCCACCCATGTGGGAGACCTGGATGGAGTTCCAGGCTCCTGGCTTTGACCTGGTCCAGGCTCAGCTGTTACAGGCACATGGGGAATGAAACAACAGATAGAAGATAACTCTCTCTCCCTCTCTCTCAAATAAATTAAAATAAATACATAAAACTTTAAAAATGTGTGGAAGTGTAATTATTTTACAGTTGAGGACATTTAGCCTCAGGAAAGTGACTTCCTCAAGTTCAGACAGTAAATGACAGAAGCAAAACTTTACAGCAAGTTTTGAATTCTAGTCTAGTGATTTTTTTCACTGGCGCTATCAACTGGATAGAGTGGAAATGAAAGAAAGATAGATGCTTTTGGAGCCAGCACTGTGGTTAAAAGCTCCTGTCTGCAGTGTCTGCATCCCATACGGGTACCGGTTTGAGTCTCGGCTGCTCCACTTCCAATCCAGCTCTCTGCTCTGGCCTGGGAAAGCAGTAGAAGATGGCCCAAGTCCTTGGGTCCCTGCGCCCATTTGGGGGACCCAGAAGAAGCTCCTGGCCCCTGGCTTCGGATCGCCATAGCTCTGGTCATTGCAGCCATCTGGGGAGTGAATCAGTGGATGGAAGACCTCTCTCTCTCTCTCTTTCTCTCTCTCCCTCCCTTTCTGTAATTCTGCCTTTCAAA